ATCCAGCTTATTTTTTCGAATTTAGTAAACCTGAAGAATAACCCAGAAAGAGTTACAAAAACATTTATTATTCATCACTTAGTGGTACTACGCACTAGTTGGTGGTTGCAGTGAGTCTTAATTATCGTTATCCCGATGTGGTAAGCAGATATCTAAAAATTTTCTAATTAGTCTCAAAAGAGGGGGGGACCTAATTTTTGCACTTGGTAAAAATGGGTAAGATTGGCTAAAATCTAATAATCTTAATCTTTGCTATCATTACATTTTGTCCAAGAAACGCCATGCTCATCTGCTAGTAAATTTATAAATGAAGTACCCAAGTAATTAAACTAAAAAAAAGAAGCTTTTCTTTCTTTTTTGAGTTAATACTTGTAATATAGGACTTGTCTGTCCTATTTTACAAGCATTTAAAAATTAATAATTGGAATATTGATCTAAAATGAATTACATATGTGAATTACATATTTTTGATGATGTATAATCTGCAACAATTTTTTCACAGTATCAAAAATGGCCCAAATAATTTTACTTTTGTAATGTTAAGAAATCATCTGGACATAATAAAACATAACATGATGTCTTTTTGTTTGTGTGTTAAGCTTAATAAAATACAAAGATAAGCTTAATAAAATACAAAAATATAGAAGATACAAAATTGGCTACAGTTGCAAATTGGTTAAAATGTTCTCTGGCATGTTGCCAGAGAACATTTTAACCAATATGCAATTAAAAAAAACAAATAGTTCATTTCAAATTGGCAGACAGTATTTACATAAGACACTTAAGCTGTTTTAGTTGAGATGATAATGATTAATAACACCTGACCCTGATACCTCAACCAAGAAGACACAGATAACTTCTCTCTCTTTCTCTTTTTTTACATCTTGCAATTAATAAGTTATACTTCTATTTCCAAACCAGTGGACATCATAAGTTTAAAAGCAAGCCATTGATTCAAACTCAAACACATGTGCACACACACACACACACTTGAAAAGCAAATGCTCATCCATTTTTTAAAGTCTAGTTTGGTTATTGAGTTAGAAACCATTGATTATTCCACACATTTCTTTTTGGCCAACATTGTATAAAAATGCAGTGTGAGGATCATGAATACCGTGGACAAAGAAACACAACTTTTACGATATGAGAGTCTTTAATTCGCGTACAAAATACAGGAATATTGATCGGATGCCAGCTACAAACTCTATCCCTTAACTTATTACTTAATTTTAGTAACAAAAATTCAACGAACAAATTATATAACGCGACAATTCTTCCTTAGTTGAATGACTATTATACTTAGTTCTTCCAAAATACAAAATTGTCTTAGATCTATTTTTCATTTTTGTATTCTACAAAAATGAAAAATAGATCTAAGACAAGAAAGAAGTTGAAATGTAAAGATGAGAAGAAAGAAAAAGTCGGGTACCCAATAAATTCGGCGTTTTTCACGGTGAATTTTCATAAGTTGAGTGAGCCTCTCGATTCACAGGCAATGAAAATTACTTTCCTAAGGAATTTCGATTTCGCTGTACACTCTAGAATGAATGAAAACACCCTTCTCAGTTTTCGCTATTCTCGTTTTCTTTTCTCTTCGAAAGGTCCGTCTCGTCTCCACTCGGTTCCAAAAAAACTTTGAGAGCCTTCCTCGTGTCCTTTCCTCTCTCGTACTACACCCAAGAATGACCTCATGGACCCCGTTATACCCTGAGGGTCGCACACCTTCCCCTTGTTACTAAGGGATCACCTGCTGTTACGCCGTTAAACAAAAGTAGGGAGAAACTTCCAGAAAGAAAGACAATAGAAATGAAGACAAAGGGAAATATATTGAATAAAAATAAACTATAACTATACAATTATGGCACGTAGCCACAGCAGCAATTTGGTGCAAAAACATGCTTTATTTACAACAATTCAGAAATTTGAAATAAATCTATTTATAATCATAAAATTTGTTATGAACCAGAAAATGATGGTATTATCAATGAGCAATTACTTTTTACTACAACTATGAGGGTAATCCCAAAAGTAAGGTCTCCAAAACACTGGGGATGAAGGGGAACTTTTGTGCAGCTATTAGCAACACTGTTGTGTTTGTTGTTTCTCCACTCCCAAACATGCTTTCATGCACCACACTGGGATGCTCAGTCTTGGTTTGGCAGCTGTCTGTAATGGATCTCCTGCTTGGTGCTACCGCCAAGTGTGAGGTTTGTGCAGTTATTCAAATTTTGAACACAAAAGGCGTTAAACCAATTGAAATTCATTGCCAATTGATGGAAGTGCAAAAAGCCAATTGATGCAAGTCATGCACGGATGTCAAAAATGTCTGCAAGTGGTGTATGGAGTTTGCAGCTGGTCATACTGAAATTTATGATAAAGAAAGAAGCAGAAGACTGCCAATTTCTGACGAAACAGTTGCAAAAGTTGAGCAAACCATGTATGAAGATTGGAAGATTACTCTAGATAATATCTGCATTTTGATTCCTGGAGTTTCCCAAAACATTATTCATAGGATTATGCATAAGCATTCTCCACGACAATGCTCACTTGTCAAACCATCACTCTCCTGCAACAGTTTGGATGGGACATCATCACCCACCACCCTATAGTCTGGATTTGGCATCCAGTGACTACCACCTGAAAGAATATTTGGTCGAAACGTGTTTCAGTAACGACAATGAGGTGAAAGATGAGGTTCAACGCTTCCTTGACATGGCAGCAAGCTGGTATGACATGGGCATACAAAAATTGCCACAACGTCTACAAAAATGCATTGACTTGAAATGCCGATTATGTAGAAAAATAGATAAATGTTCAAGCTTTAAAATAATGTAAACATTATTGAAAATAAATGTTTCTTTGTATTTCTAAAAAATAGGAGACCTTACTTTTGGGATTACCCTCATACATGCAAATTTTCATGTAAGAAAACTGTTATACAAGATAGCTTCAAAAGTTCCCAGAATTATGCTGGGTTAGTCAATTAAAGGCAATGAAAAAGGGAACATGTAATGCATATCTTAGCTAAATATGTCAGAAATAGAGAAACATGTTCAAATAACTCTTTATTCGCTGTGAAGATGACAACACTTACCACTCACTAAAGGTCATGTTAGTGAGACATCATGAAACAGTGTAGCGATGAAGGCTGTGAAAGAACAACATGCAAATATCAAACTTTGTGTATTATTGGGGGAAAAACCCTCTGAGACCTTGAAGATGCTTCTAGATTCCTATGGAAGAATCTGCCATGAAGCATTCTCAAGCTTATGACTGGCATAAATGCTTTCGTGAGGAACAGGAAAGTATTGCTGATGATTTGTGAAGTGGTCATCTGTTAACATCAGCATCTAGGAGAAAGTCTTGGTTGTACACAAGATTGTGAGGTCGAAAAGATGGCAGTCAATTGAGTAGATTGCCAAGACAACTTTCAACCAAAATTCCTGCTATACCATCCTGTATGATCAATTAAACATGCACAGTGTTTGCCAACACATAATGCCATGAATGCTGATGGCAGACCAGTGAGAGACTTGCAAGATGTGTGGACATCTCATAATTAAAGTTATTTAACATCAAAAGGAAAGTCTTTTACTTTGCTTAATTTGTTTAAAAATTTGTAATTTTTATGCATTTTATATGTTGTATTTTATTTAGTTATAGCTACCATATTTATTTACACACTTGCTTCCATAGCAACAGCATTGGACTGAATTTTATATGTATTCTTGATAATACATTTAAATTACCCTGAAGTGCTTGAATATCTATCTATATTTTTTTTATATTCATTTCATCTACTAAAAGATTTTTTAATTTATTGCTAAACAAAGTTTAATTTATTGATATTTAACATTTGCTTGTACCCAAAAATCATTTCATTATTATTGTTATACCAATTGCTTTAGATCATATTTTATTCCTGTAAAACTTATCCATAATATTCTTAATATTATCAATAATCATTTCTAAGATACATACAGAATATATAAACTATAAACTAAAAATTATTTTTTATTGGAAATTGCTCACAGAAACACTTCAAATTCAGTCTACTAGTATATCCTTACTATTATTAGGTACCATTTCAGTATTAAATTAAAAATGCAGTTCTATTATAATCATCTATTCAGTTAGAAATTTGTATCTTTAATATCAAATTAGTTGAATTGCAACAAAAAGATATTATTTTAAGATCAGGCAGAGTCTAGCAACATTACCTTCTTAATTAATTAATAACTTTTTAAGCTAAGAAATCACAAAATCAAATTCATGATTCATTCATTATACACAATAGTTTTCTAACTCCTAATGAAAAAGAAATTTTCATGTTAAAATAATGCACTTTTTAAAAACATTGAAATCAATATTAATTTATATTTTATTAAATTTTAAATAATAATTAACAATATAAATATGAAAAATATTAAAACTATATATTAAACATTTATAAATATATTTCTTTAGCCTTTTAATAATCATATTTCTATACCATTTTGTAAAATACACTTTTAAATGCTTATCCATTATTGATATTAGCAATAACAATTGCAAATCAATTATATTTTAACAGATACATTGAAATTTAATTACTATAATTTTGAATTTTATGTTATGTCATTTCAATAGCAAATTTATTTAACATGAACAAGTTGGGGACCATACGTTACTTAGTATTGTGTTATATCGTATTTGATTCAATTCTTTGGATGTAATAATATGAAAATTTTGATGGATAAATACACAGTTAATTATATTAAAAAGAAATAGGACTTGTTTATTAAAAGAATAAATTATATTTATGTATATATTCTATAGATAGATTATTATTTCACTCAGAACATTTTTTGACTTGATAAAAGCTCAAGTGTTATATTTTAGTAGTAAAAAACAATTTTTTAAACATCTTAATTATATATATATACTTGCTATATGATAAAGTTAAACAGAAAAATACTTTTATAATTTAAAATAATTCCACGTAATTCACAAATCACCTTTGAAATGGCCTACATGTAGTATTACTGACAGGATTTCCAAGTAGTGTTGTTCTTTCAGTAGGTTCTCCATACTATTAAAAAAATATAATATTACAATATAATTAAAAATTACTTCTAAACTAGAATTTACTTCTAAAATAATCATAATCAGAAAAATAAATCCATTTTGATATAAACTATTAAAAAAACCAAAACTACAGTAAAACTCTGATTAACCAAATGTCAAGTTAGCTGAACCACCACTTTCCATCTTTTCTCTCTTCTTCATTGATGTTACACTGCAATTCTCTTACACCATGCATTTGCAGGATCAATGATGCCTATTTGCTGTGACAGATCCAAATGATTAGTAGGATGCTACTAGGACATTGATGAATAAATATAGTATATGTACAATACTGTTCTGTTACCCTGTAATTTCATTCTTTACATGTTAATTCAGTTATCTAAATTTTCAATTATCTGAATCACCTGTAGAATAAATCAATTTGGATAATCAGCGTTCTACTGTAATTTTCAAAAGTCTTTAATCATAAAGAACACTCTTGGTACTTATTAATTACTTTTAAACTAAGTTCAGTTATTTTTTTAAATATATCAACAACTAGAAAACCTGATGTACAAATATAATCTGGTAGTTGTTGGCTTATTACATCAGTAATCAGAATATTTAAAATTCTAAATTTTTTCCTTGCAGAAATGTCAGCATACATTTGGTTGAGTATGGACTGCTAGATATCCCTCCAGACAGCATTGAATAGAGGATACTTTAATTAAGAGTATTTTATTATATGGTCTCTATCTCTGAAAATCTTTTGCAGTCCAACACAGCATCTCACATTGTTCTGCTCTACCCACCACATCTATGTTGTCATTATAATAATTCTTTATATAAATATTAGTTACATAGTAAAATTCATTTATTGTAATGACTATAAAACTTGTCTATACTGATAACAATAACCAATGTCTTACAGCAGGGCTTCTTAAACTATGGGTCGTGACCTTATTTGGGGGTCGCTTAATGAAATCTTGGGGTCGTGAGATTTTAATGCAAAATATTGAAAATAATTTCTGAGAGTTTGAAAATAGCACACTTTGTGTCGTACATTTCATGAGTTGCTCTTTATGTCACTTCTGGTGCAGTGAGAGTATGTTATCAGCCACATGCTGAGACTTATAGTATGAAAAGATGGCTTAAAAGTGCCCATTTACTTGATGATGATGATAACTGAAACCCTAATTACAATAAGCAAAGTTTCTGATAACTTTTGCTTTCATAAGTCATGTGAATGTTAAAGGCAAAGGTTAGTGAATAGTACAGTCTGTAACATGTATGATAAGTAATAATTTTGATTACTGTATCTATCTAATGTACTGTACATAATAGAACCACCTGAACTAATTCTGATAACATTAAATGACTGACAACAATAAGCAGATTCTACTGTACACACAATATATGTGTACAGTATTAAATGACTGTAAATATTTTAAAAATTTAATAAAGAATAATTGACAGTATGCCAGAAGAATATACTATTATTAAAATAATAAACATTTTTGAAAATAAACAGTGTGTGCTTAAATTGATTATGCAGGTGACCTGAAGTTCTATGGATAATGGATTATGGTCTAGGACAGGGATGCCCAACCACGTCCACATTGCAGCCCACTTAATATTTTATGTGGCCCACTGCACCCCAAATTTTTTAGGTACATTTTTATTTATTTTGGTAAAGTATGTTGTAAAAATTATTCTTGTTTCACTGGATCACTGGATACACTTTGATGTCTTAATTGGTGTTAGAAAATTGTTTTATGTAGAAAACTGTTATGCATGTGGGGTAGTACATACTGTTGTGAACAATTCTTTTCGTGCATGAAAAACATCAAAACTGCTGAAAGAAGTAGGTTGAGTGATTCCCATGTAACCAACATTCTTACAATTAAGACTAGTACCATAAAAGCAGATATTGACAATATTATAAAAGGAATGCAATGTCAAAAATTGCATTGAATTTATTTTTATTTTGTGTGTATATAATTTTTTTTATTGTCAATAAATAATACAGTATTTTTTGTAAACAGATAAACTTTGTATCAATAGACTCCAATGATAAATTCTGCTTGGTTTAGAATAGTAATACGTGGTACGATCCAAAAGTTCAGGGACTGCAGTAATGTATGACAACAAAAGCATGTATTTAAAGTTATAGCGTATGAAATGGATTCTATCAAACCACCCCTACGTGTTCAGGTTGATTTTGCCCATGTCACATGATTAAACTGCAAATGCTGTTTTTTTTTTTTTGGAGATAGTACCTTTGTTTTGCGATGTAATAAAAATAGAGTTTCAAGAACAGCGTTGCAACATTAAATTTTGTCAGCATTTAGGTAAAACATCTATGAAGACTTTAAAATTGCTAAGAAAGATGTACGGTGATTCTACCATGGTGAAATCAAAGGTTTAAAGAGGGCCGAGAATCCATTGCAAATGATGAACGCTCTGGCTGACCTTTGACTTCACAGAACGAGGAAAATGTTGAGTTGGTCTCTCAATTATCTAGACATTTTATGTCATTTGAGGGAATCCATTCATCGTAAATGGCAGCATATCTGGCAAAGTGGAGACTGGTACCTTCTGCATGACAACGCATCTGCACATCAGTCCCAAATGGTCACACAGTTTCTCACCAAATCTCAAATTAATGTGCTTCCACACCCCGCCTATTCACTGGACTTAGCCCCGTGTGATTTTTATTTGTTTCCATCAATGAAAAAGCATTTGCAGGGACGCCGTTTTGTGTCATCGGATAAGGTGAGAGCAGCATCGCAGGAGGCCTTACGGGAGGTTTCAAAAAATGGCTTCCAGCAGTTATATGAGTGCTGGCAAAAGTGTATCGTTGCCTAAGGTGATTACTTTGAAGGTGGTTGTGCATCAGCAATATAAACTTTTTAAGGTAAGGAATTTTAAGCCAAGTCCCCGAACTTTTGGATTGTACTATGTATCACAAACAAGGAAAGAAAACAAACAATGAAGTGCATTTTTCTGAATCACAAGTTTTTTGAATGTTATCATACATTGGCCTTGTTCTCAAAATAGAAACAACATAACTCAAGTATTGTTCAAAATGTTTGAGAAGCCTTTACATGTAATACAGAAGACAAGATATATAAAACTATTGATGCTAAAAAATGGTATTTTTATTTTTTTTAAAAATCATCTCAGCCACTAAAATTAGCAATATCTCATATACATTTGTCTCAGATTGATATTGAATAGATTCATATATGAATGTACTGTTATATAAAATAGAAATATTCAGGCTATATCAAGAATGTGTCATACAATTCTCAGGGGAAACATTGACTTTATATGGTAAATCAAAAACAAATAGTAATAAAAAAGTAGACATTTAAACTTTTTACATAACATTTATCTATGTACTGTAATAATCCAGCAAATTTTTTAAGATATTAAAAAATTCGATTTGCTGGATTGTTTAAAGGTTTTGTTTTTTTTACTTATGTACTGTACTATTACAATTTGTTTTTTTAAAGTTTATCCTTCTAATTATTCAGGAATATACATACTCATCATATAATTTCAGAAATTCTAACAATACAAGAAATATAAATATAGAATTGTTAATAATAAAAAAAAAAATAATAATAAGCCAAACTTCAGTTCACAAAATGACCTATAAACAATAGTAAGTTACACTTCTGAATCAAAATCTTCATTGATTAAGATAAGATTAAATATATATTTAATCTTATCATTAAATATATATTTATATTTAATCTTATCAAACATTAAAATGTAGTTTATTTAAGCTAGTTGATAGTAAAAATTTGCTATTTTTACCACGCTTTAACAATATTTTTAAATGATTGATTCTTAATTATTTAAACTGTCAATTATAATCAAGAATCATTTTTAGTTTATTAGAATTTTCAATATAATACAATAATACAATTTTCCTTTCAAAACACATGGAGTAAAGCCAAATGATCTTTGCAAAATTATTGGGTTACTATTGGGCTATGTTAATAATCATTGGCAAATTTGGCTTTAATCAATTAAAATTGGGTTATGAGTTATTGTTTATATATATATGTATATAGAGTAAAAGAACTAACTTCATGAAATGTTCAGTTTCAGTTTATACAGACAAATGTCTTGAATATTTAAAATATTAATAATTAATTAACATATAATACAAGTATAATATACATAATTATATATCAACAATATAATGCCAATTAGGCTATACAGTCGACTCCCCTACAACACTGTTGATTATTCCGTTTTATATGAATTCCATGTTGTACGAGTCACTTAGATTTTACAAATATGTGTGCCAGGCTGTGAACGGCTCACATATTTGTAAAATCTAAGTGACTTGTACAACATGGAATTCATATAAAATGGAATAATCAACAATGTTATAGGGGGGGTCGACTGTAATTTAATCATAAGTTTGATTAACTTCTATAACATATATCATATCCCAATAATAAAATAATTAAATCCTAAAAAAACATCAAATTATTTAATTATTTCATAAAAATATTTTTGAAATAAGTTTCTTGAATTTCTCTTATTATTAGCTATTAATATTAATAGTTTATTTTAAATAATCAAAAGTTTCTTCTTAAAATTATTTAAATACTTCAGTTGAAATATAAATTAACATGAAATTTGTAAGAGTGAATTATATCATCAAACGAATACTGTAGAGTAATATTTAATCTTGCATTAGTCATGTGTAATGTGAAAAAAAGCCATGCTAGTAACAATATCTTTTTAGCCTTTCAGTCAGTTTAAATTACGAATTATCAATAACTTTTTGACTATTCACAAACTGTTTCTTATAATAATCCAAATTGAAAAATAACAAAAATTCCATTTAAAAATCATAGATTATGTAAGAAATTTAATAAATAACTTCATAAGTTTGATTCAAGTATATATAATCAGCTACATTATAAAAATGTGTAGGTAGAATTTTACTGTTATTCAAATATATTTTAGTAAAAACAACAATATAACAAAATACTTATTTCATAAATATTTAAAATATAATATTATTATAAAAATAGCAATACAGCAAAGTTCATATTCATAAAACTACATTAAATATTACATAAAAGTATAAAACATATACAGAAAATAAACTTATTTATCCTCTGACAGTACAAAGATAATTACAGGATAAAGTTTTATTTTTAAATTATTTTAAAATAAAATACAAGTAAAAATACTTGTATGTACTGTATACACATTTACACTTTATATACATGTTGTAATGCATTATATATGATATAAATAAAAATTTTAATAAGTAATTAAATTCTAATTATAATTAATTTAAAAACAACATGAAAAGTTATTTAAATGATTGATTTTAAATTTAAACTGATACAAGATGTATAGGAAAATATAAATTATAAGATGGTGTAGATATTTGTCGACATACTTGCGAATTTTTATCTTCATCTTTACTGAAACAACAACCCATTTCGCATTCTCTCTGATAAACTACATTTAATCCATTATTTGTCAACTGAAAATAAAACGTCATCACAGTCACATGACCAAGACATATATCTATATAAAACAATATTTACGAAAATAAATTAAAATAGTTATATAATTTTAAATTAATTTATATTAAACTTAACCGATTATATATTTGAGGTAAAACAGATTAGATTAAATACGAAAAGAAAAAAAAATAATAATAAATTTAAATGTCGCTAGAGGGCGATTTTCAAAACTTGTTGGATACACGTGATTAAGCTTCTGCTCAACTGTAACTCGTAACCCGTACATGTGATTATTTAGAAATGAAATTTTAAGTTTGAATTAAGAAACGATTAAGTTTTCGACTGCTTTCTTACCAAATCTGTAATAATTGAAGGAGAAAAGGGGGAATATGTCGTCGTTATTATTTTAACTGAAGACGAAGATGGTGTTTTAATTTATTAAAATGTTAATCAAAGATGAAGATTCTAATACCGAAACATTTGTTTTTACGACGTAATAATTGTAATATTACGTTTTCGTGCATTAAAAATTGGTCTAGTTATGTACATACGAATTTGGAGCCAGGCAATGTTAATAATAAAAATTTCACTGTGAAAGAATTATTAACACTGAAACCAATAGAAAGAGAAATTTCAGTAAAAGTATGTTTATTTCAATGCATAATTTAAATGATTAATTTAGTAGTATAATTACTAATATTTAAGTTTTTGCAGGTTTTATAATCTGGAAAGTTAATTTATTGACTTAAAATATCGATATAAAGCCAGCTAGTAAACTACGGTCTATGAATAATGCATACATAGGGTAGAAGTTAAGTTTAGGTAAATTATGTATATACAATTTGTAGTCAAACTTCACTTATGTGCACTGCCATGGCCGCACAGTGGGGATCCACGTTCTAACCTAACCTATTCTAAATTACCAAAAAGTTTGACCCAATTTGTATGTATATACAACTCTGAATGAGGAATTTGCCATCCACCAGAGTTCAGACCTGCTTGTATGATCAAAAAAGTCAATGAAACCATACCTGTGTGTGACCCTTTGCAAGATATTTGCCTCCAAAGGTCAATTTTTACTGTGAACCAGTATATTGTCTATTTTCCATGCTCCACATTGGTCAAGACTTGCTGTCACTTGCATTGACTGATGCTCCACATGTACACTTTGGTTCTCACTGTTGCTCACATCTCAGTGCCTGCATGGGGGAAACTACCAACACCCCCTAAAGCTATATAACATCAAATACTCTATGAACAATCAAAAGGGCTCCTCAAAGCCAGCATAGTTGTATGGATTAAATACTTAAACACGATAGTCTTAGTGGAGCAATGCAACCCTGATCTTGTGCAAACTGGAAGTAAGCTGATTTTGGGGCTGTATTCTGTGTAGGGTCATATGTAGAGATATGATTCCTTTGACTGTTTTTGCTTCTATGGATATGGTCTATAGCAATGGTCAGCAACCAATGGACCGTGGAGAAATTTGAACATTGATCAACTGAAAGTTATGCAAAATATTACGAAAGAAATGCAAAATGCTTAGTTGCTTTTTACACTCATTGGGTTTTTTATTTGAATCTAAAACCAAAAATCAAGTGACTGTTATCAGTAAATAATGAACAATAAACAATATTGTGAGTGCAATTGTCGTCCTTCATGGAAAAGTGCAAAGAATCCATAAACTTGTTTCAAACAAGCAGCAATGAACTTTAGGCTTGCATTAATTTGTTATAATTAAACATGCGAGTTTCGTATTAATATAATAAAATTGAACTTTTGTGATCATTATTCTACAGATTTTGTATTGTTTAAAAAATTCAATAATGGTCCGTGGGATTCAAAATTGTGACTTTAGTGGTCCATGAGGTGAGAAAGGTTGCCAACCGCTGGTTTATAGCTTTGATAAGGTAGCAACTGTCTCCGAATAAAAAACACCTTTAATAATCCAGCTAATAAAAATTAATAAAGTAAAAATTTTTTAGATCGTTTCTTAATGATCTTCTTCAGTTACCATAACATAGAATAAATCGAACACAAAAGAGAACATAAATACGAAATTAAAATATAAATAATGGAAAAGTAGCTATGCTGATAAAATAAACGAAAAATATAAATTAAGCCAAAAAAATGTCTTTTAACAAAAATGGTAACTGAAGAAGATCATTAAGAAATGATTGAAAACATTTTTACTTTATTAATTTTTATTAGCTGGATTATTAAAGGTCTGTTTTATTCGTAGTATATTTATCCAGTTAGTTCATTATATAAGTATACCAACTGTCTCATTTAGAGATAAAATTATACCTATACAATGTACTTATAAAGTTCCATTTAGACATGCAATTTGTTCAAACTGACTCAACATATAAAAACACTCAAATGAACTGAATTGATAACCCTGTTTATATATTCAGTTTAGTCTGTTGGCTAGTTTTGCTTCTAGTTGGTCCAAAATATATAGGTCCAATTGGAACTTTGTAAGCTTTAGATTTTTCATTTTAATCACTATACTCTTTGGATTTAATTTACCAAAGACAGAAATGATTTATAGAGTTCAATAAATTTGGCAAGAAATTCTTTTTGTTTTATTGACATTGTTGAAAAACAGAACAGAGTATATTGAAGTACTGTACCAGACAGATCTTGTGCTAATACATTTGAATATGAAACTTTTCATATGTTCTTGGATACTGATTTACAGTCAGTTGAATGTGCCAACTTCATTCAAAATATACGGCAGAACAGATTTTACAAAGTCAAACTTTTTGACTTTTACAAACTTCAAGTTTCTGTTTACACACAATGATTTATTTGTACAAATTCAATTGCAGAAATTGCATGACCATGCTAATTGGCCTTAAAAGTAGCTTCTATATACCTTATAGTGGCAGATCCGAAAGTATCCAATGAAGAAGGCACTTACTCAACAATTAAAAGTATTTGAGTAATTAATAAGTACTTTTTATTAATGTGTGCACAATTGATTGTATTGCAGATGATCCAATAAATCATATTTGCCATTATAAATGTTTTTAAAAGCAATGTTTTGAAATTAGAAATAAATAAATTTAAAATTTTTGTCAACGGAGACGAATTAAGTCTCTGTAGCCCTTCCCTTCTATCCACCATTGATATAGTATACTTATTTATTTCTTAACACTGAATCCTGTAAAGCAGTGGTGCTGAAATTATGGCTCCCCAGGGCATATATGGCTTCAGCATGTGTTGATTCAACCTGCAAGCAAGTTTGGCATCTCTTTGTAAATTATAGAATTAGGCTATGTTTTTTTTAATATATATGGAATGTAAAAAATATTTGTGACCTGCCTATCTATTTGCCTGATTTATGTGTAATTTAGCCACCAATCATAAGTTTGAGTATCAATGCTGCAAAGCATGAAATGAAATATACAAACTTTAGTAGCTGATTGGAAATAACATTTTAGGCTACAATTTTTCAAATTGCAGCCTTATAAATTTTCACTGTTTGTCCTCTAATCTCAAGAATGGTGCTAGATAGATTAAAGTCAAGACCAGATGTGGAAAACTTAGGGGCAGGAGGCCCCAATTAACTATATACAAACTTCTGGTTCAGACAGGAAGTCACATGAATTCAATTGAAAAATTTTCCCCTGAATGGAGTTACATAGATTACTGGCATGACTCTATTGTTATCAGCAAAAGTATGTTGTATAGGAACAATACACTACAAATTTGAGATGACAAACACATTTTAAATTGAATAAATTAAGAATATGATTAAAAATTGCAGCCCAGCATTGTGACTATGTCACAATAGATAATTGCTCATTTATATCTTGATTTAAAAGCATATATGATTTAACTCAATAAAAATGTATGGTTTTTTGATATTATTTTTATGCAATGTTAATTAAGTAACAATAACTCCACTTATAATGCAAAAATTAAATTTCTGTACTTATAAAAGAAATATTGAATTGAGATGCTTTTAGCAATACTGTATCAAAATCTTTTATTCAGAGTTAATAAATTAAAATATTGACACTTATAAAAGCTTTTTAATTAATGATTTTGTTCAATAAAATTTATATTAAATAATTAATAAACTAATTATTAATAATAAAATGTAAATATTGTTAATTATATTAATTAATAAATATTATTTGAAATTTTAAGGGATGGATAAAAGCATTAAGAAAACATAAAAATATAATGTTCATAGATATTAATGATGGATCTTGTTTAGAAAATTTGCAAGTAATTGATGAAAATGGAAAGACGTAAGTAATATAAAAATAAATTTGAGGTAAATCACTGTAAAAATTATATTTTTGATTTTATGTAGGAAATTATTAAGCATGTAGTCAATTTGAGATTTTCTACTTCAATTTGTTCTTATGAACTGTACCTTATATATTATTTTAAATATTAGACAGATAGCATATATAATATGCTATTGAGAGGAGCATTCAGAAAGTAAGTTACACTCAAACAATGTAGGTCAAGAACACTTTATTGAGAGAAGCACTACCAGACAATATGACACACATACACCACACTATTTCTCTATATAAACCAGTTGCTATAAACATTGTCAGAATGTTGCATTAATTGTTTGATATCCTGATGATAGAAAGTCACTCCTTGGTCATTGAGCCAGTAGAGCTGTCTGAATCTGGTCATTGTTGACAAATTGGCATCCACCCAGATGTTGTTTCAGCTTCCCAAACACATGAAAATCACAGGGCACCAGATCGGGACTGTAGGCTGGATGCTGCTAGATCTCCCATCCAAAACTGCTAAGAAAAGTTTATGTTGTATGTGCCTTGTGAGGTGTTGCATTATCGTGCAAGAGGACAATGTCTTTGCTTAACTTTCCACGCCTCTTGTTTTTTACAGTTTTGCGCAAAGCACTCAGTGTTTCACAGTGTGACTCAGCATTAATGGTTGTGCCCTTCCACAAAAGCTCTGATACACAACTCCTTTGCAGTTGAAGAAGACAGTGGCCATGACCTGCTGATGGGGCAACTTTGCATTTTGTTCTCACAATGATGTGTGTGTCTTATGCCATCAATGCTCACTTTGTTCCTGTGGTGAAATGATTCACCTGTACCTCATCACTCATAATGATGTAGCTTAGGAAATCATTACTTTCCACAGCATAACATTGAGGAAGTCAATGAGACGATAGAATGATCATTGCTAACAGATATTCCCAACTCTTGAGCAAATTGTGCGACAGTCACTGTGCAATTGCTGAGAATCATGTCTGCAACTGCACTATGTCTGGTCTCACTGTTGTCCTTCTTTCAAAGAAGGCTAACAGTGAGACCAGACAGTGCAGACATTCCTGATCAGTCAAGTCTGTCCAGTCATCTTCAAACTGCTGGCTCCATTTCACTATGGTTCGATGTGACATGGTATATGGCTCATACACTACCAACATTTCACAATGAATCTCCATACATATGAGATGTTTTCCGAACAAAAAAATGTACTGTTCCATGTACTTCAACCATTGGCGTAAGTTTCCAGCTGAAGTGCCATTTTGTTCTCGTACTATGCAGCAAAGCTTGCTGTTACTCAAACAAAAATGCCACCGTAGGAAGCTGTGAACCTCAACTCTCTTCTATGCAAGCTTCATTCTTGTTGTGCAATGCTGCCATCTTTGGGGGAGAAATGTAACTTATTTTTTTGAATGTTTCTTACACATCTAGTAGCATACTTATATATAATGATAACTCCATACTATTAACATATTATCAACACAAACTTAAATCGAAAAAGTTTAAATAGTATCTGGTCTTAACATTCCATTTTCAATAAGCCAAATTTACATTGTTCCAATTATGTTCTAAAAAACTCTGCATCTTGGTATAATAGAATTTTTTAAAACATAAATGGAGCATTTCCTTTTTAGTTTTTCTGTTATAATAATAGCAAGTTTTATTTTTTTAGAATTTAGAGATATAAATTTATATTGATGAGGATGGGATATTTAGTTTTGAAAACATTCTAAATAAAACTATTGATGGGTTTTTGATGGAATTTGTATTGATGATGATATATACAAAATAAGTAAATGTTTATGATTGGATTATTTAATATTTCTAGAATGACCTTTTTAATATCTAAAAATATAGGGAAATTTCATTTGGATGCTCAGTGCAAATTGAAGGTGTTTTAGCAAAAAGTACCCATAAAAATCAAGAAGTTGAATTAAAATGTTGTTCTTTGAATGTCCTTGGTAAATGTGATGGACTAGTAAGTATGGATTTTTCAATTATATTCCTATATTTACTTAATTGATGACAATAAATGAATTTTAAAGTATTATTTATTAAAAATTTAATCAGATTTAAATTGTTAATATGTTTTTATTGTAAAAGTTTAGAAATAAAATTATTTTTGATAATTTGGACAGTAGAATTTATTTTAAATATAACATTCCTTCAACTCTATCAATGATAACCTGCATGATATTGATAATGATAGTTTGGTTATGCAAGACATAGTCAATGTCTTATATAACCAAATTTTGCATCAGATAACTGCAAAATCAAAAAACTAAGTTCACTCAACATTCTCTTCTTCTTTTCTTGTTAAGTTTAAATATGCATTTCAGCTGGATTATGTTAGTTTTTTTCTGGTTACAGACAAAGAATAAATATAATCTTAAAAGTAATAATACTTTATATAATTGTGATAAATTGTGACATGCTTTATTGAAGGAATATAGTGATATTATCTCTAGGATAAATATATATTTTAAAAACTAAAAATAATTCACGCATCTTAAAATTAGATAATTTTTTTTTACAGCTGATGCTAAACATACAATAAAAAAAAAATAATAATAATAATAATAAAATTTTAAAAATTGAAACAAATTTTAATCAATTTGATTAAAACTGTCATTAGTATATTGTATATACAGTACTGTATTTACTTGCATATAAGATCTTGCATATAGGATGAGGTGTGATTTAAAGATCAAAATAAAGAAAATAAGATTTATTAATACAATTCTAATTTTATTTAGTTTAATCATAAATAATATATCAAATGCATGTAAATGCACATCATTGTTCAGCAAAAATTACTAGCATTTTAAATTTTATTTTGTAATCTTGTAAAATCGACAACATAATTTGTTTATGTAAGGCTGGATAATTGGGAACCTTTTTTGCCAATTCGTAACAGTCAAATCCACTCTCTGTCGATTACACTTATGAGTTTCTCTAAATTCTGATTTCCAAATAATCTTGTTTTCACGTGGGAATGAATTAAAACTTATATCGGGTTTTTGTGTAATTTTTGAATTCAGTTCAAAAGCCTTGCTTTTCATATTGCTATTCATCTTTACTCCTGACAATACACAAGAACAATTCAAATGGCCCAGATAAAATACTTTTGTTTTTAAACACCAGAAGGTGAGAATCAGGTAAAAAAAATGCAAATACACAGTTTTCAAAACTTATTGCAAAAACAAAAAGAATCCTTTGCTTGCATGTATAGGACAACCTAGGTTTTTGAAGCAGTGAAAAATGAATAAAATCCTCATCTTATATGTGAGTAAATACGGTATTTAAAAATTAAAAATATTATTCATTTTTTTTTGTCCTTTATAAAAGTTACATTAAATTTTGTGATGATTTAATCAATTCTTTAAATTTTAGGGCTTATCACACTAGTGAATATGATGTTACAAATGAAAGTACATTGGGTGATCGGTTAATTAACAAACAGTTTGGACTACGAACAAATTGGATAACGAACACTTTCGCAAAAGATTTTTATGTTCGGACAATGTACACCTAACAGAACAAACACAAGAAGAAGCGACATAAAATAATGAATACTGATTGATCTTTCCTTGTCTTCGGGCAACAATTCGAAACTTTTCTGAGCACGGGAGACATTGACATCGACACTCAACCCATTATATACTGATCGGATAGTATTTATCCAAATTTTGAAACTCTCCCTTGTAATTCCAACTTTTTATTTTTCTGACAGGAACAATTCTTTTATAGTAGTTGGGCAGGCACTCGTTAAGTATTGCTTCGGTTTTTATTTTTAAAAGATGAGAGTATAATAGCAAAAGTAGAGTGGGCAGATGTCTGATGTTGCTGGGAAGTATGGCTTGAACAGGTCTACAGTAGGCCACAGTTCACTCTTATCTAAGAAAGATACAGTATAATCAAGAAGACTCAAGCAGCTAAAGGAGTAACAAAAATTACATCTGAGAAATAAAGAACATTGAAGAGCTCATAACAGAACCTGAAACAGATCTGATGACAGAAGAACGCCAAGAACTCTTGAATGAATAACACCAAAAAACTCGGTGAAAATGCTTTCTTCTGAAAAAGAGGATTAATGCTGATATCTGCTATTAAACATCTTTTGAAGAAGTGGGAGGATGTCAGAACAACGGTCTTAGAATGGCATCCAAACCAGATTGAGGTTAAATAGGCTTAGGGATCTCTACAATTATAAAGCTATTAATTACTTCTGAAAAATCCTGAAGAAGAGAGAAAAGCAATTGACATTAGACAGAATCTTTAACCCCCACAAACAGAAAAAACATGATTAATAAAAATGCAAGACTGTGTATATATGTATTTTTATTATCTATACTTCTATACTAATATTATAAAGAGGTAATGTTTGTAAGTAAGTTTGTATGCAGCAGGTAATCTCCTAAACTACTCATCTGATTTCAAAAATTCTTTCACCAATATTTAGAATGGAACTTCAGGGTGGACATAGGCTGTATATTTTTCCAGTAAACATTCATATAAATTAAAAGATATAATCTAGGTTAAGGCTTTTATGTCCAACAGATGGCGCTACGAGTACGACGCCCTAAGTTTGCTTTTCTGTGAGGCATTATGCTTTTCTGTGAAAATGAACTAAAGCAGATCATCTATCTATTTATATAAATAAAAATGTAATGTTCGTTTGTTCCTACCGATTCCTTTGAAATTTATACACAACGCTGCATTTGAATACGCACGTATTTTTATATAATATACATGTCAAAATTCAACCCCACTGAAGGAAGATGGTTAGGATTAAGGCTTACGGTAAAGAACTCTGCTTCTATTTATACTATTTTAGATGCGGGTTTTTGCGTTTTTGATTGCATTTTAATAGGGTATATCAACAGAATGTACACTAAGAAGAAATTTTTCAATATTTCCCCCGCAGGGGAGAGAGACAGGATTAAGGCTTACTGTGAAGAACTTGGCTTCTATTATACTATTTTAGATGTGGGTTTTTGCATTTTTGATTGCGTTTTAATAGGGTACGTCGACAGAATGTACACTAAGAAGAAATTTTTCGAAAAATTTCCCCCACGGGGGAAGTGTTATAAATTTATAATAGATACATTTTGAGCCACAACAGTGCGTGGCGAGGTCTGCTAGTTACATATAAATAAATGTAGTAAGAAAGTATATATTTTTTATTTTTTGGAGATTCCAGAATGAATTAATCAAATTCCTATGGTAAATCCTATGGTAAATCAATAATCAATTAACAAACAATTCAGATAGCCAACAAAGTCTTAGAACAGATTATGTTCATTAACCAATCACCCACTATACTTTATTTTATATCTAAGTTTTTTACAATTAGTATAGAATAAAAAGTGACAATGTTACAAAGTTAATCTTAAATATATACTAGTACACCTGTAGGGAACCCGTTCTTGATCAGCGGATTCCGACCCGTTGGTTTGTCTCACCAATTAACCAGTCCAATATTTCCACAAAAAAAACTTTATTTCACTCTCAGGGACCGCTACTTCACACTCTCTCTCCCTCTTGTGTCCCGAATTCCTCTCTCAAAAATTTCTTCCCGCGTTTTCTTCCCCGGTCTTAACGGCCCCTTGTTAGCGTGTGTCAATGGATGGATCGCATCTGCCCCAACGAAACCCCCCAGAGAGGGAGGGCGAGAGGATCCGATATCACCACAACACCCAAATGCATCTTGGACTCTTCAGGTGGGGTTTGATAAAAATAATGATACAAAATATATACAAAAATTACATTAAAAAGGTTCAAGGTGGTTTGTGGTGTCTTGAAGACACCACAAAAGAAAAACCAATGTTTTCTTGTATATGCTGTACAATAGATTCCTTCTTTCTCTTTATAATTGATCTAGCTGTGGACAACAATCGGGACCTCTGGAGGATTGACAAAATTATTACACCAAAACATTTAATCAGTTACTATACACATTTACAATCAGTAGCTCAGTAGTAATTGGATTGATTATAAAGAAAAATAGAGAAAAAAGAAGGAATCTATTATACAGTACATATAAGAAAATATTGTAAAGCCAAACAACCACCTGATTACATAGGGCTAATTTTCTGCAATTATATTTAATTAATTACTAAATAATTTGTCACTAGAGTGAAGCATTAGGTGCCATCTTGTTAAATTTAATAATTATACAGTCGAGTGTCGTTTATCCAAAAGTCAGTTATCCAAAAGAATTCCAGTCGGAAAATTTAAATTTTCGCTAGTGTTGTGGTGCTGCAATCTTTGGCTATATCCAATATTTTTGGCTACTCCAATATTTTTTATGTTTGTGTATGTGTTTACTTGGCAGCACTGTTACTTTTGTGTGGTGTTTTTCTGAGGACTGTGTTATGCTGAATCAAACATTTTTGATACTAGATCAACTTCTAAAGTATAATTTTTTTTGTTTTTATATTTCTCAATATATTCATTTCATTTGTAAAAAATAAAGAAATAATTTTTAATGATACAATAGCACAATTATTATTTTAAAAAGTTTACATTAGGCTTAACATTGACGAAAATTCAACACGAAGCGACACGCAACGGAGAAAAATTTCAACATGGGATAGGTTAATATATTTTTTCGTACATAATCGGTTATCCGAAAAATAAGTTATCTGAACAACCCCAGTCCCCAATTGATTCGGATAAACGATGCTCTACTGTTAAATTAATATTTATTAAATAATTTAGAATATTCTGGAAGAAAAGAATCGGCATGGATTGGGACTCAAACCCTCAACTCCGGCTTACTGTGCAGATGCATTTTACAAATTTATTGGGTTTTGTGACGTTTATTTATGTAAGAAAACAATGGTTTCTTTGTGATGTCTTCATTGTTATTTGAACCTTTTTAATGTAATTTTTATATATATTTTGTATCATTATTTTTATCAAACCCCACCTGAAGAGTCCAAGATGCATTTGGGTGTACTAGTATATTTAAGATTAACTTTGTAACATTATGACTTTTTATTCTATACTAATTGTAAAAAACTTAGATATAAAATAAAGTACTTTCATTTGTAACATCATATTCACTGGTGTGATAATCCCTAAAATTTAAAAAACTGGTCAGGTTACCACAAAATTTAAGATAAAGAAGTAATTGTATTTATAAATACATGGGTTGTTTAAAAAGTTCCCAAACTTTTTGAATAGCATGTCTCCAGTTGGTTATTTTTTAATCTGCTTGAAGGTGTTGTGTCCGCGAAAACCTCCCGAGTAACCTTCAATCTGTTTGTTGATATCTTGTTTTGGTGATTAGTTATGGCCGTTTATGTGAAGGGGTGTTTGTGGGGTTTGGCAAAAAATTGGATTCGCAGAAATGAGCTCTTTGAAGGCGCAGCATTGTTCTGTGAAATTCTGTGTGAAACTTGGGAAATTCTTCACAGAAACTTCCCATGGATGGGTGAAACATCCACCTGCCTGAAAAAAGCTCAACAAGTTCTCTCAAATGTTAAGATGATGATGACTGTTTTTTCGATGCAAAGTGGTTTGTTCATCACGAATACCTACCTACAGGCCAGACAGTCAACACAGATTTGTATTATCTGGGGGTTATGAAATGCCTAAGAGACAGAATCAGGCAAAAACGGCCAAAACTTTGGAGGAGCAGCAAGTGGTTTTTCACCACGATAACGCGCCAGCTTATTTGTCCCTCAGAACTCTTTGGTTTTTTGCCAAAAACAAGACCACTGTGCTTCCCCACCCACCCTACTCACTTGACCTGGCCTCATGCAACTTTTTCTTGTTCCCAAACTAAAAACCATGCTCAAAGAAAAAAGATTTGCCACCATTCCAGAGATAGAAAAAAAAAATGATGGAGGAGCTTATAAGCATTTCAGAAAAAGCATTCCAGGACTGTTTTAAAAAGTGGAAATACTGTTGGGATAAGTGTATACGTTGGGGAGTAGACTACTTTGAAGGGGACCCTGACAAATAAATTGTAAGTGAAGTATTTTTTTTGTAATAAATAGTTAGGGAACTTTTTGAACAATCCTCATGTATGTATGTGTATTTATATATATATGTGAGATTAGCAGTGGGCCACTGGGCTCATCCCAAATGACCACTTACTCTGCAACAGGTTGGTAAAACCCGTTCTCGGCTTGTTGGATGGCTAGGAGGGCAAAAATTTGAGTGGGGAGTGCGTCGGTAAGTCGGCAGGTGTCCTTCAGAGACAGGAGACAGGTTTAAAAACAAAACAAGCATTTATTTATATAACTAAGCTAGGATACATAGGTTAAATGCGATTAAATAAGTTCACTGTATAAAAGGGACGCTCTAACAGCTTTACCTGCTAGTCTGAGAGAGAGTTCACAAAGCTCTAAAAAGTACAAATACCTCTCTGCGGATATGTCTAATATGCGTTCGTTGAATATGTTCATGGATGGCGATGGAAGTTCAACTGGTTGTGGTTGGTCGTATGTCCTTTCGGTCCAGAGTATGGAGACAAATATGGCACATCTACCAAGTATAACTTCCGAGGGATCGCCCTGAGCTTCCGGGGACTCGAGCTTTTATACGTTATTCGTGGGAAATGAGTCACGTGATCGACTTCAGTTGACACTTACGGTGCATTCCGATCAACTAACTGTCAACTTTCCCACCATAATGTGAAAACAATCGGTGACCTCCGATATACTTCTCACCAAGAGTGGGTTTTTCCATTGGAGTTATTTACAAAGATTTTTCCGACATCGGGGTAAAAATCACGGATTTCACATATATATTTATTTATTTATTTGTTTTTGAATGCCATTTAATATATTAAAATATTAATAAGTCTTTAAAAGTAGACTTTTTTGAAAATATTTTTTATTATTATAATATTTCAAGTTTTTCTAGTATTTTTATATATAAGGTTCTCAGGGATGTATAGTGCTAACCCTCAGAATCATGTTTCTGATGTAATTGAGTTTGAATGTTTGAAAAAATTCCAAAATAATGATTTGACAGCCACATCTACAGGTAGTGTTTGGAGAACAAAAATATTAACATACAACTATTCGTACAATTTTAGGATTTTTTCAAACATTCAGACTCAGTTACTTCAGAGCCATGATTCTGGGGGTTAGCATTATACATCCCTGAGTGCTACATACATACATACATACATACATACATACATACATACATACATATATTGAATATTGTACTGAAAAATAAATTATATATATATATAATTTATTTTCAGTACAATTCCAATATTTTATTGTTTGAAAAATATATATTAATTCATTCAACAAGATTTAATATCAGATTCAAAATGATATAATTATATATTGTCATAAATGAGAATGTCAGCTTATAAATTGTAATTTAACATGTTTTATTGAGTATGTGTATGCATAGATAGAATGTAATATGATTATATTCCTTTAATTAGTCTACAAATTCATCCTTGCACTCTTGAGTTTATCATTTATCATAAAGATATAATACTGAAATTAAATTTGCATTCATAACCTAATTAAAGGCCTTCAATTAAAGCAGTAAGTGAATTTGTTTTAAAGAAAAGAATTGGAGTTGATTTTGAAATTTGGTTTTATTTGTAATATATTTTCTAGTTTCTATGACTAATTAGAGTATTTCCATAAAATGAAAGAACAAAAGATTGGATTATATTTCTGTATTAAAATTTTATTTTTTTATTTCATTAATTTTATTAATATTAAATTTAATTATTTTTTCAATGTTTAGAAATTTCCATTTTTACCTCGACACAGTCCAACTGTAAAAGAAACAAGACAACATTTACATCTTCGACCAAGAACTAAAGATTTTGGTGCTCTTTTAAGAATTAGAAGTTTAGCAACATTTGCTGTACATAAATTTTTACAGGTATATTTTATTATTCATTTAGAATAAGAATTTACACACCTTTAGTTCATATTTTTAGAAATTCTAATTTGGAAATTATTTGTTTAAAGTAACTTAAAATTTTGAAGAAATATGATTTTACAAAATTTAACATCTCATACTCCCTCATTTTTTCCTCACAATTCTTCCTGTGTTTCATAATTTTGTTTTTACAATTTAGTCTCCTGCTTCGCATTTAATTTTACTTCAACTTTTTCATATTCTGTTTTGACTGTTCTAAAACATTAAATATTCTAGCAAGATTGTTAATAACATCAGTTTTTTCTATTTTTTTTTATTTAGTTATTCTTAATATACACATTTTATTAAACTTATACTGTAAATTTTGTATGTTATTTGCTTTAAATGATTGAAACTATGAATTAACTAATTTAAATTTCATTCAATTGAACACAGCATCTTCACAAAATAACTCTGGCATTTAAAAAATTTATATTAATTTTCGTAAAAGAGATGTTAGAAATTCATTTGTTCTGATATCCTCAGAAACTCAAAAGTTTTGGTATACATGATGTTGAGTAAAGTAATATTATGATTACATTAACAGTATCATGGTAACTGTCCAACAGTAAAAGCAGTGTGCGATTTGATTCTTTAAAACTAAATTGCTGTTCATTAAAATTTTTTACTGAGTATGGAAGTAAAGTGTCTACATATAAGATAATTTGTCAGTACAGTCGACCCCCCTATAAGATAGAGATACGTTCCATTCTCTAGGAATCCGCTTTCTTACGAATCCTTCCAATCACAACCCGACACGTGTCAAGTTTACGGACTACGGCTGTTTGAAAGATTTTCTTCCATAAAATTAATCGATTCTAGACTAATCCGACTCAACATTTCCAAAATACGTATATATTTTTTGGGAATAATCCGTATAAACTACGCTATAAACAAAAAATTGTAGGATTACTTACCGAGTGTCACCATTCGACATTGCCATTGCTCAACATTGTTTTCGTCGCGGAACAGCTCAGCAAAGAGCGGCCGATTTCTAACAACTTATTTTTCTGTGAAAACTTCGTAGAACTTCGGAGACATCATTAATATAAATAATTTTAATCGCCGTTGAATAAGAAATGTTTCTTTCACAAGAAATGTATAAAATTACAGTACTGTATTAGACTTACGGTACCTAATTTACATACTGACAGACGATAGTTAGCGTAAAAATCTCCGTAGCGTGGCGCCACGCTAGACGGCGGAAATTATATATTTAATTATAACAAAGTTACAATAAGTTAATATATAATTATATATACAGTACCTAATTTATATATAATTAATATATAATTATATGTACAGTACCTAATTTATATATAATTTATATAATACTGTCCAGACGATAGAAATCTCTCCGTAGCGTGGCGCTACGGACGGCGGGAAAGTAGTTCGGCTTCCCGATGACGTTTGAGGTGTTTATAGGGAACTTTTACTATTTTTTACGGATACCGGTAGCAATTTTTTCGTAGTTTTATAGGAATCGTAACTATAGGGACCGTAATTATAGGGGGGTCGACTGTAGTTGCAACATTTTAAAAAGATGGAGTGTTTCAAAAGGAAAACTGCCTTGGAGAACTTGCATATTAGAAGATAACATAGAATAAATCTAAGTTTTTCATGCTAAAAGTCCATTAAAGCGATTGGCATGATACAGTTTGGAATTACAGATTTCTATGATTACCATACACAAAGTGGTACACAAAAGGATGCATTTCATTTTAATAATTGTGTTTGTGTAGCTGTATACAACAGATTTCCTAATAGGTGGAGTTGAGGGGATGGTTCAGTTTTATGGCCACCTGGAAGTCCAAACGATATCTCTTGACTTTTTATATGGGGACATGTAAAGAACATGCTGTATGCAGAACTATGTGATTTTGACCAGCTGCAAGAGACAATAACTGATGCCACTACAATTATTAGCCTGACATGCTGTTATGGATGTGGAAAGTGAACAGATTATTGCATAGGCATTTGCAGGGATGTGAAAGGAGCAAAACTGAAATGTACTAAATGCCAAAAAAAAAAAAAACTTGAAACTGTGTCTTTTCATTTAACCTTGTAATTCATGTGAAACTTTTAATGTTATTTATTAAATTGTGTATGAAATTCCAGAGTTATTTGTAAAGACCCAGTATTTTTTATTGATATATTCTTTATTGTAATGAATCTTTTAAATAATTTTTATAATACAGTAATTAATTATTGTAATTTTAAACTTATAATAAATTGATAGGAAAGAAATTTTCTTCATGTGAATACTCCAATTATAACTTCTAATGATTGTGAAGGAGGAGGAGATGTTTTTTCTGTTCAGGTAAATGTATGTTAAAAAATTATTAAAATTTTTATATTTTCAAATTACCCATAACACTAAAATAAATTATTATTACAAAAAAAAAAAATATAATAAATTTGACAATATTTATAAAATAAAAAATATAGTACTGTGAACAACCCTTTTAGAATAAAATTTGAATATCTTTAAAAATCCAATATCCAACACTTTAAATATAAAAATTTCATGATCCAAAAATTCTATTTTTTGTATTATAAATTAAGATTTTACTATAAAATGGACTTTAAATATTTTGTTTGTCATGATTTAATATAAATAGTATAAAGAATTTGAAGATATTTTTCTTATATATTATACAATCATTTTTATGTATTAATATTTAATTCTCATTCATGAACAAAAAATTGATGCTATGTTGTATTCTCAAATTATATATGTTAATAATGTTTATATTTCATAAATTATACTATTGAACAAGGTAGTACAACTTTTTGTTTTAGTCAAATTGTATCTTTGAGCTTAAATTACAGGTCAGAAAAATAACTTTTTTCAGGTATGTGGAATTTTCCACATACCTGAAAAAAGTTGTTTTTCTTAAAATAAGACAAATGTCTTATTTGGAATGTGTTATATGGAAAATAAGACAAATGTGTTATTTTCCATATAACACATATTCTATTATTTAATTCTTAATTAAATAATAGAATATGTAACAAAATATAGACTATAGCTAGATAAAAATTTTGTTAGTTTTATGATATATTGATAGTTATAACATATTGGACCATATAATGTATATAGGAGGTTAGTTTATTAAAGATTCAATGTCAATTTCAGTTAAGTTAAACATTACAGGCTTTTTTCTTGAATTTATAGTTATTTCTATAAAAACAATAAACAAACATTTACCATATTAACTCATATATAAGATGAGGTGTGACCTTAAAGATCAAAATAAAGAAAATTAGATTTATATGTACAATTCTAATTTTATTTAATTTAATCACAAGTAAAATATCAAATGAATGTAAATGCACATATTGTTCTGCAAAAATTACTGACATTTTAAACTTTAATTAAGGAAAAATCTTGAAAAATCAATAACATAATTTATTCATGTAAAGCTGGACAATCAGGAACCTTAATTTGCCAATTCTTAACAGTCAATTACACTTATGAGTTTCTCTGAATTCTGATTTCCAAATACAGTAATCATCTGTTTTCATGTGGGAATGGATTAAAACTTATATCAGGCTCCTGTGTGATTTTGGAATTTCAATCTGGAATTCAACTCAAAAGCTTTGCTTTTTCTATTGCTATTCATCTTTACTCCTGACATTATACAAGAACAATTCAAACAACCCAGATAAAATACCTATGTTTTTAAATACAAGATATTTTACCAGATTAAGCATCTGGTAAAATATGTAAATACGTGATTCACAAAAATTATTTGCAAAAACGCAAAGAATCTTTTGCTTGCACCTATAGGACGGCCTAGGAATTTGAAGTTGTGATAAATGAATAAAAATCTCATTTTATAAGCAGGTAATTATAGTTTATATATAGTCTTGCTGAAACAAACAGTTGTATTAACTTTATAGTCATAATGCTTCCTCCTAGACCAATCTTGCATCTTAGAACACCATTCATCAGATCCATTATATGTTAAGTTAAAGCATCTAAGAATTTATTTGGAAACTAAGTCTGATTTTCAGATTAAAACAAGAATCTTTGAAGCTTTTTCATCCAGTACATCAATTGATGATGAAACAGCTGTTTAAAAAAACAAAAGCAAATAAGTTTAATTTGCTAAATTTTGAAACAGTTGCAAAACTGAATAACATGCTATGATTTATAGCTAGAAATTTATCCTCTAATATAAAATTTTTAAAAAGTATAAAATAATTATTCAGAAATAGCATCATAATCATGTGATCTAACAGTGATTTATATTAATTTTGGTTATTTATTTTAGTTTTATTTGTACATTCAATTTAATTTATCATTAGCTTTTTTAATTCATTTAGAATAAAAATAACATTTACAATAGATTTGTTGAAATGTTAAAGGCAATGGTTTGCTGTTCTGAAGAACCTAAATTTGTGTCAAGGTTTGCATTCATGGAAATTTTCATGGTGAAGGATATTTGATTTGGATATGTTGGTCGTTGTTTCTTATTACAGCACCATCCTTTTGTGGCTTGGCTGAATGCATAATAGTCATAAGGAAAAGGTCCATTTAGTGTCCACAGGACAAAGAATTGGAAAAATAATAATAATAATTCATTTACTTAAATGTAGTTGCTCAAACTATGAACCTAAGGCATTTATAAATTTTTTCAGTTAAATGTGCTTATTTTTTCAAGTCTATCCAATAGCATCTTTGTAATGAATGTATGGTAAACATCATTAAAATAAAAAGAATTTTAATGAACAATGCAATGATTTTTCTATAATTAACATCTCATTATATAATGTTTTTAAATTGAAAATAATGTAATTTTTGTTTTTTATAAATTGATTTAGTATTAAAAGTAAAAGTTCTTACATCTCTGTCAATTTTGATAGAGTAAATAAATATAAAGAAAAATTATTTAGTTTATGAAATTTTAAATTTGTCAATGTGTGAGTTTTTAAAAGCACACAAGTGCTTCAACAAGAACTTTAAGTTCTTGATTTGAAATTTTGCCATAAGCCTTTTCTATCAATATTTGAAAAAAAAAATTATTTATTAGATTAACATAAACTTTGGTTTTTTATTTTGATTTTCTAATTTTTCTAATATGTTTATTTCCTTTCAAAACATACAGTTTTAAACATTTAATTTTATATTTTGCTCAAGTGCTTAAATTGCATAAATTCTAAACAGACAAACACAATTTATTGTTTAGAATTTATGTTTAAAAAGGTATATATTTTATACTAGATAACTCTTCATTTTATGCTAGACTTATTTTATTTAAAATTTTTAAAAATGTTTGTGATTTATATAGTAAAATAATGAATTTAATATTCTCAAATTGTGTGTTTAGCCAGTTACGTCAAATTTGATAGATGAAAATATATCATCAACTGAATGTAAACATTATTTTAATGTTCCTGCTTACCTTACTGTGTCAGGACAGCTGGCGTTAGAAGCTGCAGCATGGTAAATATAAAATCATCAGTTCAAAAATTTATTATGAAATAATAATAAATAATGTAAATTTATTGTTTATTATTATTTAAAATATTGATTAAAAATAATATATAGTAAAAATTTTTATATTTTAACTATAAAAAAACGTTGAATTTTGATTTTTAGAACTGCTGATTATTATGATTATTGCAACTTTCATAAACATTCTTTTAAAACTAATACAAAAGTTTTTTTGATAAAAATATCACTTACTTAAAAAGCATAAGTTAAAAAATAAAATATTTGAAATTGAAACTCATTAGATATTTCATTTTAATACAGTATACAGTGTTTAAGTGCATTGATGAAAAGAAAATTATTTTATATCAATGATGCATTCTTTTCTGTATACAAATTTTTTTTATATTGATTACATATATCAAAGTACTATTTTTGCATTTAGTCTTTTTGGCAATTTGATCTTTATGGTTGATATTGTTTGGTTATTATTATAAAATAAGCTTTTATCATCATTCTTTAAATACGTACGCTTGAGTTTTAATTAATTTAATATTAGGAACTATTTTTGTTATTTTTAGTGCTATGTCAAAAGTTTACACATTTGGCCCCACATTCAGAGCAGAAAACACTCGAACACGTCGTCATCTTTGTGAGTTTCAAATGATTGAAGTTGAACAAACCTTTGTAACACTAGAGGATTTATTTCAGGCAAGTTAAAATAGTTATATAGAATTGGTTTCTTGATAATTTTGATGTTTTCATGTAATTTATTATTTTACAAATAGTAAATCTATTGTGTGTATGTGTATTTGTATATGTGTAATATAATTTATTAACTTAAATTAAAAAGCTTGTTTATAATTTACAAAAAATATTCCTCTTTTCTGTTTTAATTATTGTGCATTGATACTGAATTTGAAAATTAAAAATATCTAGCAAAATACTAGTATTTTACCATTTAAAAACATTATCTAAATTAATAATGGGTGATCAAATGAAAAGTAGACTCATGAGAAATTGTGTAAAGAATTTGATGACACCATCTGCCAGAGTTGATACTTTGCTTGTTGCTCTTTATTATATGTTGCATAAAACATTTAAATTTTGTACAATAAATAGTTCAGGATAACTTATTTTAAAGGCTAAAATTTGATGTTTTACTGTAGCTTATAAATAAAACCTGTATTTTTAGTAATTTTTTCTAAATGTTAAGTTTTACTATGAAAATTCTCTGTTCTGAAGTGTAAGGAATTTTCTATTAACACAATGTGTATTTTAAATAGCAATAATGAACTAATACTACTCTTGGAATGCATGTTGGGTTAGCTAGGCACCATCATTTCATGTCATTACCAAACTCATGTTATTTCTCCACAAGTCTTCTTTTTGTGTAATCACTTGATATTCTTAAATAATTTCTGAAGTAAAAATTAATAATTTTTGTATTTTTAAAATATTATTTTATATGACATTAACTTTTCAGTTAACTGAAGAATTGTTTAAAAGTTCAGCACAGTATATTCTAGAGAAGTGTGTAAAAGATGTTGAGTTATTTCACAGTTGTCTTACCCCCTGTTATGCTCATCATTTGACAAAAATTCTAGAAACACCATTCATAAGGTAAGTTATAAAATTTTTATATGGCAACTCTCATTTCATTACTTTTTTCTATATCTTAGGAATTTTATAACTTTTTGCATTAAATATTTTAGCTAATTATAATAACACAATATAGATTTATATAAGAAAAATTTATCTAAATCGAATAATATTTCATAAATTTAAAAAATGTAAACAATGAAAATGATCATATTTAGTGTTACATAAAATATTCTTTTAATATGAAATGTGTGTTAAAATTCTTGAACAGTTTTTGTTGCTGTACTGTAAGATTTGTTTTTTAGCATAATTTTTGTTTATTTTTTATGCAAAATGCTAATTAATCATAAATTTATGCTGTTAAAATAAGATATTTAACCTATCTATTTCTAATATCCAATTAATGAGGCAGAATGGTCAAGATGACAGCTTACCACTTTGGGGATCTGGGTCAAATCAGGATGGGTCGAAAAATCCCCAGGAATTTTTCAGGGGATGATCCATTTGGATATGTTGGGCCCCATCCCTCACTATTTTACTGCCCCATAGTGGACCTTGTCAAACCCATAGTGGGCTTGCTAAAAGAGGCCCTCTTAGTACCCACAGGGCAAAAAGAGTTTTTAAAAAAATATATTCAAATAACAGAATGATAAAAATAAATTTTTTTTTATAAATTTGTTTTTAAAAGATTCTTCACCTATATTTGAATACTTCAATAAAACAGAAAAGTGCTTAAATTTATTTAAACAGTTTCTGTTTTATAGGATTAATTTTAGTGTTAATTTTTAAAAGTGTTTTAATTTATATTCAATCTAACATAAATTAAAAAATCAAGTATTATCAGAAAATAAAATTAATTAATTAATACATTTATTAGATTAAAGTATAAATATTAACAACATAGTTCTATAATGTTGGTAAAAATAGTAAATTAAAAACGATAAAAAGTATCAAATACTAAAATGAAATAATACAGTAGAGCGTCGATTTTCCGAATCAATTGGGGACTGGGGTTGTCCAGATAACTGATTTACGTACGAAAAAATAGTTTAACGTATCCGATTTCGAAATTTTTCTCCGTTGCGTGTCGTTTCGCGTTGAATTTTCGTCGATGTTAAGCCTAACAAAGACTATTGTATCGTTAAAAATTATTTTTTTATTTTGTACAAACAAAATAAATATATTGAAAAATATAAAAATAATAAAAAATTATACTTCAGATGTTAATTTAGTATCAAAAACGTAAAATATTTGAGTAGCCCAAGACATAGCCAAAGATT